TTTCGTATTGACACTGCTGCATTCTATTTTCATCAATTATCACTCGATCAGGGGTTTGAAAAGGCTTCGACATGGGAAAGTCAAATTGCCCATCAAGTGAAAGGGCATTAAGAGACTTGTTGCTATTCAAAACTATTTGTTCAGGTGTACGAGTAACAGTTGAATTTCACTTGCTCATGTATTATAGTGAGATAGTTGGAGAAACTGCAAATAAAATTACCAGCTTATTTAACATCACAATGTAGATTAAAGTCATTGAGCATTGCATTCATCACGACTAGTACATTACCTTACAAATGCTCAATCGTTAGACAATACATCACCACTAGTACATTACGATACAATATGCTTATATAGAATATGCGAATTTGTTATTGTCATGATTGTCGACTACAGATAGTACATACATTTCAGGTACTACGAATGGATAAATGCTTGTCCAGGAGTTCTTGCCGCGCGACGACCCGCGCTGTGGACTGTGCCAAAATCAAACTTGCAGTTTTGCACTTACATCAATTCCAGTCTATATTACATCCTTAAATGTTGATGAATGGAGGATTTCATCTCCGCATCACCCATTCCCGGCCACGGTCTCCTTATCTGCACAGCCAAACCATCTCACTCTACACCTTCATCCTCTCAACAGACCACACAATCCTACACCACCCAAATCACACGATCCTTTGGGAGTTACCCACTCAAACTACTTTCCCCGCCCACCAACTACTCTCAATCTCAGGTTCAAGCTGCTTTAGTTTTTTTGTTGAGTTACGGTGGTGGACTCGTTTCCGGAGATCATATCCATGTTGATGTGATATGTAAAGAAAACGCAAGACTGGTGTTAACCACGCAAGGATTTACTAAAATATTTAAACACCGACGATACCGAGTGAATGTCGATACCTGTTCCAATGGTTCTTATGATACGAATGTAGACACTACCATTCCAAAGAACCAAAGAATTTCAGTAGACACAGTGGGTGTGACTAAATCAACAATCAAAGTTTCGTTATCTCGAAATTCTTTTTTGTTTTTACTACCCGAACCGATATCGTTGTTTAGAGATTCCAAGTATCATCAACGACAAGAATTCAGGGTACATTTAGATTCGAATTTAGTTGTATTAGATTGGTTTACATCCGGTAGAGAATGTTACGGTGATGAAGTTTATTTATTCGATGAATTTAGAAGTCGTAATGACGTTGTTTTGGTCAACGAGGAAGGAGAAGTTATGATGGATGATACAATTGATGATTTATTCGTTACGAAAAATCGGAGAAACGAGAAAATGGTGGTCCGTGATGTAGTGTATATTTCCAACCCCTCGAAATCATCAGCACAGAACACTGTGAATTCAAATACCCCGATACCGTCTCATCCACTTGAACCCTATAAAATCTATTGTACCATTATCATCTACGGTTCAGAATTGTCGCCACTTATTCAACATTTCATAAATCTATACGCTTCAGTTCCTCGTGTTCAACAATCTAAATTCAGATCGTATCGTAATGAATCGACCTCGCGGCCGTTGACTTTTTCGGTTTCGAATGTAAAATATAAAGACGAAACTGGAAAGCATGGAATTATTGTCCGTGCGGCTGCTATAAAGACTGAAATGTTGAGAGATTGGGTGAAAGAGAATTTAAAAATGGTGGCAGAATGGACTGGTGTGAATGTTTTCGAGCGACAACTGTGAGTTTCGTTAGATCTAGGATTGGAAAATTTCGTCGTCTAGGTTACAGGTTAAACCTTGAGGGTTACAAAAATCAAGTCCTCGAAAGCAGTCATGTCTGGTAGTTTTGATTTATTCTACAATTCGCTTTAGTCTGATACTCATACATCAGAGATAGTCTACAAGAGATTTACGGTTTAGACTTCATATAGTCCAATTGATATGAATATGTATAGTTAAAATGATATGATTTGAAGACAGAAAGAACGAAAAAAGAAATATCTCAGGACGTAACTAGAATCCCCGCCCAAGAATATAGTCGATGACCTACTAGTTGTATGGAATGCGGGCTTCATAGAAAGATTGAATCATATTTACAATTGAGTGTGTTTTTTAGCTTGTCAACTAAGTGCTGTCCGTCACTCTTCCAGCCTTTAAACTATTTTATCTCCCGTGTTAATTTCTTCCTCAACGATATCATCTGCGGCGTCTTCATTTCTATTCATCATTTCCATTTCCACCTCTATGCAGTCCACAGCCTCGGATTGATCAATTTCTTCGGTCTTCTCGTTCATTGTCTTATCATTGACTGTGCTTCTTAAACTCTGAAAACTTTTAAAGCTCTTTAAACTTTTATAACTTCTCATGCTTTTAACACTTTTGGCGGTACCGGGGTTTCCGTTACCACCATCATTTTCATCGAAATCGCTTAGGTTACTTAAACTTCCGAAACTTTTGCTACCGATGTCGCTACCCAGACTGACAATTTCGATTTGTCGGAACGGGGAAGTTAAAGTAACCTGTGATGCAGTCGGGAAAGTCGAGAGCAAAAGGTTGACTTTGGATTGGGAAAGTTTTGCGTTTGCTGATGTGAGTTGTTTGATTTTGTTGGGTTGCAGTTTGGATTGTTGTGATGGTCGGGACGGAGCTGAATTGTTGTGGCCAGAGTTCGCGGAATTGGATGTAAGTTTTTCAGGAGAGAATCGGCCGGATGAGAGACCGTACTGTTAGGGTAATTCATAGTTAATAAAGTGTTTATCAAATTTGAAGAGCAGTGAGAATATGAAGACGTACCACGACACAATTAAGAAATCCTTGTGATGGCAAAAGAAGAGTTTGCAATCTGGGGATAGTAAATTCGGTGTGAGTTACTCATTGGCCATTTCTCATACTTGCCACCATGTGGAGATTAAGGACTTACATTGTCAAAGCAAAACTAATGTCCAAGGTAACAGCCTCATACAATCGATTGATTGAATTAGGAATCCAAATCATCAAAAAGACAGCAGGATAGAGACCAAGTTTAAAGAATGTTCTTCGATGGCTCATTCTAGACCTAGTGGCGCTCTGTACTCGAGCTGCCGAGCTATGAATGTGATAAATGATCAAGGCGTACAGTATGACGATGGAAACAATAATAGCGTAGACAGGAGCGTAGTATAAAATTTGTCGAGCAACAGGATCTCGAATGAAACAGACGGGCCCTGCAAGAACGGTAAGTGTAAGCCATTCGAGCGGATGAAAATCGCAAGAAGGAAGGTTCGAAATGTTGAACATACCAGAGTCGCCGAAAGTAGTCCATGAAGTGAACACAAGGGGGACAAGGGAGATCAGAAGGTTTGGAACCCTGGATGTAAAGATTGCTCGTTAGTAATTTTCGTAGGTATGAATCAGTTGCAGGGTAATCGAGTAGAACACAAACCAAACTAGAATATGGGTCATGATCCATCGTTTGCCGCTGATGGCTTTGCGTCGGACAATTTGTAGGTACAGTTGAATAGCAAAGGCCAGGGACCAGAAGTTTGTACTGATCAGGAGGAACGAACACCAGAAGACAGGTTCAATCAGTAAGACAATCAAATTTTGGTCCGATTTACCGTTCACCCAGTGCGACATTCAGGTAACAGGGCAACAATGTTCGGCAACCAGTGGTCATGGGAAATCGTGATAGAACTGATCAAACAACATACCATCCGTAAAAAAACAGTTGGACCCAACCTTGAAAAGAGCATAGGGCGTTAAAAGTACTGATCTGTTTGCCCAACTTGAGGGCCGACATGATGACGATCCAAGTTGAACTGAACAAGTCCAAGCATGAGAGGTAAAAGACCATTTTTGTGGTGACATGTCTTTGGTTTTTCTTTAGGTAGATGTAGGAAATGATGATGTAGATGGAACCAAAAATGGACAGGACTGCCATTGTCAAAGCAATGATGGCAATTGTGGTCGCTTCCTCGGGGTTGAATCGTCGAGCCATCGTTGTACAAGGCGAGGGCGGAGAGCGAGGGTGGGGACTTGGATGAAAGAGGGGATCGGAGAGAGCGACGGAGGGTGGAGATGGGAGTGTGAGAGGATGGGAGGACGGGAGGGATGTTTTTCCTTTGTAGTTGCCGGATTGGGAAAGGGAGCGAGCGGCAAGTCTTTGTGCGCTGTGAAAATCGACTTGTGAGAAAAAGAACGGGGGCGCTAAGGAGTAACCGGCAACCGGCAACCGGCAACTGGCAACTGGCAACTGGCAACCGGCAACCGGCAAGTGGGCGGTAAGGGCAACCTGGCAACAAGCTACTGGGAAGATTGGCAGACTAAAGACAGTCTAGTCTACACTCTACACTCTAATCAGTATCTGTGGACTTTTAATCTATATCTAAAGAGCACACTTTGATCGCTGTCACATTCCCTCTCTGATAAGGCATTCCCCTTCACATCCATATATTGATATTCTGCTGCATCTCTGCGGCATCGCCCGGTAGCCTGCACGCTGTCCCCGACGTGCCGCTTACGTTGTTCCTCATCAATCACACTATCGCATCACTATCGCATCCTTGTCTGCGTTGCCCTCCTCCAGAACCAACTACCGCCCATCAATTGAGCACCCTCTCTTCCTTTAATATATCTGTCATTACTTTTGTCATTTATGTCATTCTGTTCTTTCTGCGGCCCATATCTGCCCATAGTGTACTATAATCAATCTTCATTGCATCCAAATGCTGAACAGCATCCAAATTTACCCGCCAAACAGGTCAGGCACCTCCAAACAGTCTCCAAACACTCCTCCAAACCCAAATGTCTATGTCCACGGTCATGATTCACACTTTATATAAAGAAAATTCCTCAACGCACTTAATGGCTAGCTGACAGGTGCGAGACACTTAATGAATAACAGATCAGAAGGGATCATAAGCTGAATCAGGCTAAAATCAATTAACGCCAGCGTTCTGTCTGACTTCTAAAAGACTTCTTGGTGAAGAACTATGTGATTTCATATTGTATGAGCATATTGCAGCATAACGTATATCAGTGTTAGATGCACTTTTGTCGCCAAGAGGGGCTCATGGCCAAATGGATAAGGCGCTTGACTACGAGTTCATACGAATAGGTGAATAAGTAGCTTATCAAGAGATTCCAGGTTCGACCCCTGGTGAGCTCGATGTATAATTTTCCTTCAGAGGATAATACATTTTTGATTTAGGATACAGGAAAAATGTACTGCATCAGTCTTATGAAGTAATATTGATTTTTAAGATGCTTGATTCTTCGTTCCTCTAAACACCGCGGCCGACCGTGAACGTGTATTCCTACACAACTCGGCTTGTCAAAATATCAGGTGAAAATTGCCATTTCTTAGCCCGTGAAATCCTATTTTTGGTTTACCTATACTTGGTCCCTTCAGCCTTCAACGTCATTGGGGCAGTGTCGCAAACAGCGAATTGACAGAGCACGACATCCTGTTATCATTGTCACGAAGACTATGGTGCCCAAGTGTTGGCAGCACTGCTCAGCACTGATCATCCGAGGCAACGTCGCCAACCAACGCACAATCTGAGGGCGTCATGGCCACGCGGATCAGATCAGATAACTGCGCTTCCTCGTTTCCACGACTCTTCTGCGTCATCTTCGCCCGCGTGGCCCATCAGATAAATGGCCCTATCTCTGTTGTTACCTCCGATCTGATAACTCCCATCTCTTTAGACCCTGAAAGGTTCGCTATTAATCCACAGTTTTGATACCGATTTTGGTAATATAATAATCACACTCCTTTGTATAGTCCGCTGACAGAGAGAAATTCATTATCTGTGTCCTCAATCTATCCCGGCAGCAAAAATGGTGACATATTCCGAGACAAATACGCAAACATCCAAGACCAAAGATATCATCCGGAAATACAAATGCAAACATCCAGATTGCAACAAGTATTTCACAACAAGGTATAGCAATTTCAATTTTCTTCTGTATCCCTTTCTTCGATATGGCTGCCCGCTATGCAACTTTGTCCCGCCTGTTCACGCTTCATTGAGCTTTTACCGTGCTATCCGTTTCGGTCAAACTGACTCTTGGCTTCGCTTGAACTTACAGCGGCCACGCTTCAAGGCACTTTCGCACAGTTCATAAATCAGACAAGCCTCATAAATGCGAATACCATAACTGTAACATGCGATTTTCGAGGCACGACAACATGATACAACATTACAGGTACCCCATTTGTTCTGTCAGAATTCCAAGTTTTAGCAATCGTTTTTAACATCAGCATATCAATTTTGATTAGGACTCATTTCAAGAAACCAAAATCCAAAAGCGATCGTTCAAAATCTATCACGCCGCCCTACTCTTCAACAAATTCAACGGTATCGACATCCTCACATACACCGGTTCCCCCAGCTACAACCGTATCTACATCCCCGAATTTTTCCTTCGCCATTCCAAGTCCCCCCGTTTCACCGTATAATTTCCACCCAGAATCGTATACAACAACAAACAACAATTCAAAAGCAACAATACATTCATCCAATTCGCCAAATCTAACAGACTTTCAACTTCCCGGCGTGACTTATCCGTACCCGTCATCCAACAACTCAACGCCTCGTCCCATTCCAATCCTCGACTCATCTACCCCTAGACCCATATCAAACATCACTACACACAATCATAAACCCGTAACCTCTTCGTCTTGGTTTCAATCAACCTTGTTGCCGTCTCCACCGCTGAAACCGGTATATACTGAAGAAAACGCCCAATTGGCGGGTACCATTCCAATCATTTGTTCTCTGGATTCACGAATGAACGGGTTAGATTTGTTGCTTGAAGCTTGTAAATATGATATGGAACAAATTGAGAGACCTGGATGAGGATATAACTGAGTTTCAGTTGATGCGAGAATGGTAGCCCGTGTTGGTGATTTGTGAGAATTAAAAGCGTTTTGTAAATATGAGGATGACCAATGTATCTTTAATATACCATATCAGTCTTTATTTTCTTAAAATGATGATTCGTTGATGCGCTATAAACGATCATTCAAAAAAGTTTAAAAGATTTTGATATTGCAATATCCGCCGTCTTTTCATGGCCCGACGATAATCGTTCATTGTATTGATTGGTATTACAAGTTTTGTTTTTCTTACATAATTACATTTTGATTATTTTTAGTTACGCTCCACGATTATAAAATCCTGCAAAAACAATCCAACTCGTTAACAAGAGTATTCCCCAAAAAGTCAACATCACCTGATTAATCCTTTTCGTTTCAGTTTTTTCCTTCGCTTTTAATATATTTCTTTCACTTCTGGAACTTGTAATACTTCCTCGTAAACTTTGAGTTTCCAAAGTTCCAGTTCCACGGTCATTCCCGTCCAAGTTGGATCCGTCATTGGATAATTGTTCTGATGTCGTTGACTCTTCCAGTAACGCTCTAGATTCCCCAGTGTCTTGATTTCGTGAGAGTAACGTCGATCGGTCGGTTGAATTGGCGGATAATAATCCTTTGTTATGAGATTTATCGATGTAGATTAGGAATAGAGATAACGTGACAGCCAGAACGGCCATTACGGTGAGCAATGTCATTGGGGCGGTGTAGGATTTTGTTTCGTCTTGAAGGAATCTGTGTTTAAATGGGTTAATGGTGGAATAAAATGGATAGAAAGAACAAAGAAAATTTCTGAAAACATACCCAACAAGAGGGTCCATCATCGTTGTGGCAATGTTGCTGGCGGATTTGTATATTCCCTAAAGAAAAAGAGCAATGGTGTTACTGGGCAGACTAATAAACACACACATGAAAGGTAATGGACTTACCAAGGCGGTGCCTACACTACTCAACTTAATAATCAACGGAATACTGGATACCATACTGACAGGACCAAAAGTTAAACTGATAGAAAATAGCAACAGCCCCACAATAGGCGTCAATGGTGCGAATCCTAAGAGCACAAACGACAGTAATAGCGAAGTGGTCGCTCCAAAAGTGATAAGCGGACGATGGCCATGCCTGTCGAGCATGTAGCCTAGAAATGGTGACACTACGATAGGAAGAAACTGTCCGACGGATGCATTATAGGCTGCTAGAGTCTCGGTTTGATTGAAGTGTAATTTCATCAACTAAAGACACAACAACGGAGAATTAGAATACCAAAAGTACACAAGCGCATGAAAAGCTAGGGATTATTTACCTCCGGAGCGATATGTAAAAAGACAGTCCAACTTCCACCCATCAGAAACGATAAATATGCAATCACCCAAAACATGCCCGTGAATTCCATTACATCGCCTATATTAAATTTCTGCTTTCGTCGCAACCTTTTGTATTCTTCTTCTGTTACAATATCGCTTCTCCCACCCGCTTGTTCCCGGTGATAACGCTTCATTCCGAATACATAAAAAACATTGATTGCAAGAGAGAAAGCGCAGAGAAGAAAAGAGAGGTAGAATGGGGTGCCGTACCAGCCGGACACATTCTTGATGGGGACAACGGTCGCAATTGAAAGAAAACTTGATAGCCGAGCAACGGCGATCTGTGTATTGCAAAGGTAGACCAATTTGAGAATTCCCAAATTACACACGAGGAGAGATGAGAATCATATATTGTAATATACCTGAATACCAATAGTAATAGACAACCATTTTCCTCTAAACCAATGTGCCAATATCGTGTGCTGCACGGTGACAATAGTTCCTGATCCTAGACCGTAAAGAGCTCTCCCAAGAACCATTAAAGGGAACGAGGAAAATGAAGCCGACATTGCCACGAATAACTCTCCAAATGTAATTAGGAATGATGACAATAATGATCCGGTAGCCACCCCGAAAATATCGATGATGCGACCACCGAGGACAGGAATTATCGTGTTGACCTGACAGAGAGCACATCAGTTAATTCGACTGACATTTAATGGCTAAAAATACAAACGAGATATAGTTACCAGCGAAACACCGGATTGGAGTACTCCGTATTGCTGAAAGCAAGAAATCGAGTTAGACCTGGCCCCGTATGGATCGTTTCCACTTAAATTATTCAACGTTGCTCAACTCACCGCATTAGATATATTCAATTCCTCTTTTAACGTACTCTTTAACGAACTTAGAACATGGGCTGAATAATGACTGCCTATGCTTAACAATAACGTACAAAACAAGGCGAAAAGTTTCCACCTAACCGGGGCATGTTCAAGACTAGAAATATGCGAAGAAATGTCTTCGGATTCTTTGTCCGAATCTATATCCACTTGATTGGTATCTGAATCTACCGCATATTGTGATGAATTAGGCTGGGTATTTGGTATGGAAGAGGATGGTCGGATGGTCGGTGACATGGTGGAAAGTTCAGAGTCGCTATCAGATCGAGAGTTGCTGGTGTTTGTGTTGGTTCGAAGCCGCACTGGAAACATACTCTACGAATGAATTACAATACCATTTGGACTGCCTTTGTCGTTATTGACACCTTGCGGTTGTTTAAGGCTCAATTTGCCGGCCGCTTTGTGATGAAGGAAAGTGGAAATATTGAATTCGCTCAGTCAGCCTTTCACTTCCGAATGGCCACGCCGGATCTGATAAGTGCGGAAAGTTCATGACGATCCTTACCAAACTCATCCCGCCAGACCGACATCTTATCGTAATTATATAGGCGTAGGCATTAATGAACGTGGCAGGGAACTTTAATATATGAGTAATGAGACACAAATGCATGGTAAAATATATTTAATTCATATCATTAAAAAAGTAACTGAAAGGTTGTATATCGAACAAAGTGGTTCGCGCTATAATACAAAAGGAGGGAAATGATCCAAAAACTTAATCCCCAGAAATCTGGTTCCGTCTTCACAATTCGACTGACATCTAGCACATTCATGAACGCCGCATGAGATCGGCACTTCCGTATCTAAGTCCAAACGAAATGTTTCTTTTTCTTCGCAACACCTTTCTTCTTCGGATTCGATTTTGCAGGTTTAAATGAACCAGTAAATTTGTTCCCCGCCTTCTTTTTCTTGTTTTGAACTGCTGTTGCCGCTGATTCTGAAATCAACCAGAAAAAAGGCAAAGCACAATGTCTTGTCAGTACGTATTCCTTCAACGTATCCCCGCTGAACGGCGAACAATGACTACCAACCTTCAACCTCCATCTCTTCATCTTGAGTATTTTCAGTATCATTAATCTCTGTC